CTACATTCTACAGCCAAAGACCACCATATCCACCAGCTGCTCCACCGTATCCGCCACCTGCTCCTTCTCCTCCTCCACTAGCATAACCACCGGAAGATGAAGCTCCACCACCGCCTCCACCATGACCACCACCACCAGCATTACCACCATATCCACCAGTGGCTCCACCGTAACCACCACCTCCTCCTTCTCCTCCTCCACTAGCATATCCACCGGAAGAAGCAGCTGCACCACCGCCTCCACCATGACCACCACCACCACCACCAGCATATCCTTCAGCTCCTCCATATCCACCACCACCTCCTTCTCCACTTCCACCACCACTCACTCCTCCATAACCTTCAGCACCACCGTGTCTACCACCTCTGCCACCACCATGACCAGCCGGGACTTCATTGTAGGTTAAGAGATTCCGGCTAGTGGCGTAGCAAATGCCAACGCCGAGTATAAGAAAAAAGATAGTTGAGAGAGCTTTGAGAGAAACCATTTTGGGAAAATGTTGTAGGTAGTAGTGAGACTTGATGAACTAAAATGGAAAACCTTAATGAGGTATTTATAGTGATTGGGGTTTGGTATCTTAAGCCGCGTCCTCTGTAATAAAAAGAGTGGTTGACGCACATGCTTGTGACTAGTTTGAAAAGTGTAGATTTACTGTCCCTACCATTACTCCTAACTTTGGTTTCAATTTCTTCATTTCCCTCTAATCTAATCAATAGTTGTAACATACCAATTTCAAATGACCTAGACGTCAATATAAATCGTTAAAAACATGACCCTAAGTTATTAGTTTAAGATTAAGATTTGGTTAGGGATCTGCGTTAGCTCAATCCTTAATTTATATGACTCCCGGTCCGAAGAGATTATGGACGTTGGCTTGCATTTTCATGGTTAAGGCTGCGATTAGGGTTTGTATGAATCAGGTTACTTCTGTTACGGATCATGTACGAATACACATAACACATGCAAATGCGAGCACCTTCTTTAGACGGTTTGGCATAAACCATACCTTTAGAGTACTTTTATACAGTTTAATAACTCTTTACAATATCTTGATTGATATACATCGTTAAATTGGTTAGAAAAAGTAGTTAGAATATCATTTAACAATTCACAATGTCGTGTAAGTATAATGTTGAGTATTCCATTCTGACTTTTATCTTTTTTATTATTATTATTCTTCAACTAAGGTTTTTATAAACCCATAAAGGTAATACATAGTATTACCAACCCATTCATCAACTTTCACCTAAACATTATTATTACTCTTTTACTTTCACTAATTTTTTTTGTCTTACGTTGTTATTTAACTAAAATTTTTTTGTTAAAATAGATTATAGAGATGTCTCTATGTGTACATATATAGATAATTATAGACTACAGTTTTTATTAATTGGCACACAATATATGGATCAACGTAGCCGTATGATTAAATTTGAAGATGAAGAATAATCTCTAATTCTGACAACACAATTTTCAGTAAACATGTATATAAGTAAACTATTGAACCCAAACCTTAAGAACCAAATAGTTTGATAGAAAGTCAAGACTCTAGTATACACAAAGAATGGAAAATCTAATTTTGGCGATTTAATTTGAAAAGACTTAGTTATATATATTTATTTGTTAACTACTGGGGAATCCCATGCCGAATCGCAGACTAATCCTCCGCGACCAATTAAAATTATCCAAATTTTCTTGTTACCACTGAAGGCGTCTACATGACTACATGTAACCAAAATGATTGAGATCGCGTTGAAATATTCGAACGTGGCAAAAAAAATAAGACATGCAAAGTAAATCCTTAAACCACACTATATTAGTTATATTACAATTAGGGGCTAGAGGTTACCTAGAAACATTTATATAAAATCGTAGTATAACAAGTCACAGTATCGTGACTTACGGTGTTTATTATTCCTTTTTAACCATCCCTCCATTCTTCACCAAATCCTCAAATAACCTTATTGTCTCAAACCAATAATCTTTTCTTTCTACTTATAGTTTCTGCTAAGACTTATATTTATCTTGCACTGAGCTAAGCTCTTACTTCTTTTATACTTTCTTTTCTGCCAAGTTTATACACCTAAACTTACAAGAACTAATTTGACTACGTAAAATTTTCTTCTTCTTTGAAATACATTCAGATATAGAAGAATGCGTGGACTTATCACTCCAATAAATGCATTTATTAAGAAACTAAATATTTTCCCATGAGAGTTCACTTCTAGAAAGTTGAATTCAAATCCTGATTATTTTATTCACGAAACTTTGGTACAAAAACATATATGAATAGAAAATAAAAAAGATTTTGGTAAGAGACTACTAACTATATATGAAAATACTTATTAATGCGTCTTAGCATTGCCACTAAGAAGACCAATCAAGATTTTGAAACATTGGTGCTGTCCAGCCAGTGACCACTTCTCTACCTATTATGCGTAGAGATAACAGTACAGTGAAATAAAATATATACAAAAACAAATCAATAAGTGTATACCTTACGCATTGACAAAAAAAGAAAAAAAAAAGGAAGAAGTGAATACATTACGCACTTATCCTAAATAGCATTTTATAGTTTATATATATATATATATATATGTATATGAAAGTCTCGTTAGAATTATGAAACTATATATGTCTAAATTTTCAAGGATACTTGGATAGTCGCTTGAAATTTAGACTAATTGATGCTACAATTTGAACAAAAGCTACGATTGATAACATTGCAGAATACAAAACATATGTGCGAAATGAAAGGATATAGTTTTTTTGGTAAACGGCTTACTTGAATAAATTAAATAATATAGTTTACAGGAACCTTGAATAAATTAAATAATGAAAGGATCTAGTTATAGTACATGATAGTTGTTATAATTTATTTGCAGCATGGTATTATAACCAAACTTATATATTTTAGAAAATCAGGGGAATATAAAAGAATGATCTAATGTAGATGTGTGTCTCTAACAACCCGCATAATCGCATAATCATTTTCTCAGTACGTGGATTACGAATCGAGGTTTGTTATTTATTAATGAATTTAATATAATATTATTTCAAATCCAGTCCATTAATATTCAATAGTTTATCAGTTATGCATTAAAACCTTGTGTTATTCGACTTGCTATTAGTAAATTTTGTTTTAGAAACTTTAAAAATGTTATTCAGCTAAGAATAATTACATACTTGACTAACTTATTGTGTTACTCAAAACTAAAATATTTACAAAATCTTTGTATATTAAACCATTTAAAATGAAAATCAAGGGAGTGTCATGAGTTAATTATAACTCAAAACAAAAACAAAAGACAATGCAAAAGACAACGATTCTAGAATCCACGAACGTGAATTCTTATAAATACTATCAAAATTTTAAATTTCGAAATTTATAAATGTAGAGAACCGAATTTAAAATCATTGATCAAATACCTTATATGTTCCATAAGAATCTACCATTTATATCCAACTGCATATATACGATAATATCACTAGAATAACAAACTTTTGGTTCATTTGACAATGCTAATGGAAGTTAAAGTATATAGTGTCTATAAATTTAACAAACAAGTTTTTGGAGAAAAAGTGTGTAAGAACATTGACAAATGAAGAGCTCAAGCTTTTGGCATTGTCAAAAGTATAAGCACCCAAATTACCCATAATTGGTTACAGCAAAATACAGATTTGTTCCATTCAGAGAGGAAGGTAATGATGATACATATGTACAAACATATACATATAAATGGGTGTATGTACAGTTTCATACGCAACACAAAGTGGGAGATCACATGGGCAAAAAAAAAGCACACACCGTCGTTGTTGAAGTTTAGCGTGAAGAAGAAGTAGTAGGACCAGTATAGTTCCATAGTGCTCTTCTTCTTTCACTTCTCTTCCACGCGTCCTCAAAAGAAAATAATTTTTTTTATTTACTTAGTTTCTCAATAGAATCATAAATCCCACACAATGTCCTATAGCGTTGATGATCAATAAAAAGTGCTAGTTTGAGTCATCAAGTATCTCTGTGTACAAAGAAAAGGATCTCTGTGCAGGTTCAATCTATAAGAGAAGTTCGGATTCCTATAATGAGAACAGTTCAAAAGACAAAACATAGTGGTTATTATCAACTATCCAAGACATAACAAACAATATGGATTAAATTACATCGATCTTGGATTAGCGCATTTCTGACTCTCGCGGTAGCTAAGCCAAATCTTTATTGGGGGATTCGGAACATAGCATTTTTGTACTTAAGAGTCTTATTGAGATTGCACTAACAAAAAAAGCGTTTGGTCCCTCTCACTGACAATGGAGATCACAAAGTCTGACAACAACATACAACAACAAAAAGTCCCACTACTAAGATTTCTGGTTTCTCTCACACATGACACACCATTCACAAAAAAAAAACAAACTCGAAACGACAAAAAAAGAAAGAAGAAAACAAAACAAAACAAAGTGCGTATAGGTAAGGCGTTATTACAAAGCCGCAAACGTCTCATTGCCTACTGCTCCTACAGTCCTACTACCACCACTTCGTCAAACTGTAATTTATAGTAGTCGGGTACTTTCTTCGTAAGGAAATAAGGGGTAAGTGGTATGTTAAATGAATAGTAGAATGAATATAGAACATTCGAATAATCGAACAACGAAAACATTATCATAAACATTGTAATATGGTTTTATTAGATTAAGTGCATTTCGTTTTTATAGTACATACATGGTTTACAGTCGTGGCAGCACCACTCATCAAACTGTATTTCGTAATTGATAAAAAAAAAACACTTTAAAATACTACTATACAAAAAATATTATCATAAATTTATGGTTAGAATGTTTTCATGTCTAAGGGTTTCTATGACCAGCAAAAAGTCTAATAAGGGTTTCAAAATCGTTTATTATCCTTTCCTAAACGTAAAGTTTATGGTATTTGTGAAAATTTTAGTGTTACATGGTATTTTAGTAAAGAGAAATTTGCAAAAATTTAATAATTATTTAAAAATTTAATAATTTTTTTTTTTTAACACTTTTTCAAAATGTTATTAGAATGTAGCATTTTAGCTATTGTTCATGACTAATTGGCCTTCCGACATATATATTTGTGTACTATATAGGGTATACGAGAAATTAGTTTGGGATAATTTTGATTTTTACTCGTAAAGGACAAAAAGTGAGCGGTAAAAAACTTAAATATGTTGAAAAAAAAAACTAAAGAGTTTAAAATTAAGTGTTAATTTGTGCAATATTGTAATTAGTAAATTAGAACATAAAATATGCTATTTCTAGTGTATGTACGATCCAAAGTTATAGAACTGATTCAATCAAAGCTGACCATCTTTTTTGATAAATAAATGAAAGCTCTTTTACAGTATTTTATCAAAACAAAATCAACAGTCGCTTACAGCCTGAGACGCACGAAGAGCTTGTTTAGCAAGAGAATCAGCCAATAGATTGGTCGAACTCGAAACGAAACTGAAAGAAATATGTTGGGAAGATTCTGCTAGCTCAAAGTTCGAAACCTTTTTTGATAAAGGAATCAAAGCTGAATTTTTTTTTTTGACGATTATGGACATCTCTTTCAATTTTCAAAACTATGCAACTATTTTCAAAATTTTCATAAAATGACTAAAATTATTGAAATCTGAGCATGGCCAGAAGATAAGCAAGAAGCACAATGACAGATTTAAAATTCTAAACCATAATCATCTAAACAGTCGATCACTACACTGTAACTATAGAGGTCTTAACTCCAAAATTAGCAGCAAAAGATAGAATTTTGAGCTATACCCATTGTGATTAAGCCTTGAAAAGAGATTGTACATTAGTCTTCAACTTCATAATCATAATCATCTACACAATAAGGTTCATTAGTCTAGAAAATAGAAGCAAGGAATCGAATTTGAACTATACCCATTTTCGAAATAGCGATGACCATTGAATCAATTTAGTCTTCAATCGGTAGTAGACGACGACACAAAAGCTTCAATCTCATCAAGAACAGAGCTAAACCTTGGCCTATCCTTAGGCCTAACATACAAAACGCCGTCGTTTTCACCGAATTCACACATCCCACACTTTCCTCTCTTCTCCCACAACCGCTCGCCGAATCTACAATGAGCAAAGTAAGCCTCCGCCGAAACGACGCCGTTTGATTCGTCTTCCTCGATCACTTCAATCGGCAATCTCTCGTAGTGCTCAACTTCGATCCCTTCCAATTCGTCAAGCCTTGCAAGCCCACGTTTCGAAACCGCATAAAGCTCGCCCCGGATCCGTTGACCCGACCCGGATTTGTTGATTAAGTAAGGAATCCCGTAGAGACCCGTGATGAGCGGGTACGATAACCGGGTCGTGCGTTGACCGATGTAAACGGCGTTGTTCTTAGCGATCAGATTTTCTAAGAGGAAATGGTTTGGATGGTTTCTTTTTAACGTACCGTACACGAATATGAGGTTCTTGTGTGCTCCTCCTCCCATGGTTTTCGCGACGGCGAGTTTTCTGAGACTCGGGATAAAACTCGGTGGCTGACTCGGAAAAACTTTTATCTTCTTTGTTTATTATGGGCTTTTTAATAATATATAATGGGCTTTGAAGCCCATCAACTTCATAAATGGATTACAAAAAATAAGGTTTAAATCATTTCACTACCCAACTATGTTTTGGTTTGCCAATCAGTCTTCTTCTTTTTATTTCCCACACTTATATGCTCTATGCGCCGGTGATGATTGATGAAGCCAGGAATGTTTTCCCCTTTTTGGCACTTTGAGAACCTTTTTGTTTTAATTTATTAAAATTAAAATTATTCTATTGATTTATCGAACTGATATTTTATATGCTAGGACAAAAAAAGAAGAAGGGAAACACTGTTAACAAACAAGAAAGCAGATAAGGTTCAAAAAAAAAAAAAAGACAAAAAAACGAAACGCGATGCCAAAAAATGAAGGTTGTTCAGATTAGTAATGATTGGATGTTTTAAAACTAGTGGCTTTAATTAAAGGATATTGTGAGTCTGTGACACATTACTCCAATTGAAAAAATATGTTGGTCTTTTAAATATAAAAGTGAAGAGGTCGGCCGAATTTGCTGGGAGTTTTAAAAATAAATAAATGTTTTATTGATTATATTTTTATTTAACAGTGTCAGCATTTTTCATTTTATCACACACGTGTTTGTTTTCTTGGAAAAATAACTATATGCTCTGTCTGTTCTTAAGCAAAACCAGTATCTATAAGAGGATTGGGTTATACATTACTTATTCTAGAAAATATATAAAGGAATAACATATTAATGTTATTAAGATTTCCTTTTGTTACAATCAGACCTAGCTATTTATAAGATTCGATAAATTTATATTTTCAGTCAAATGTGAATTAATGAGTATTCCTAGCGTTTGATATATAAATGATTCTAAATGTGAAGCACAACATGAATCATGGACAAGATTGAGCTATGGTGGAAAGTAGGAAACAAAAGTATAATTTTACATGTCTTAACAAAAATTGCCACGTGAACAATGCCGATGATTTGTCCCGTCCATTCCGACATGCATTTAGTGAAAAACGATGGTAATTAAGTTAACATGTAATCATGTATACTATGTGTTAAGAATCTTAAGATATACAATCAATAAGTATATTTAATAGAATGTTTGACACAAAACTTTCAAATAATATATATAAATTAAAAGATGTGAAATTTTAAATTTTGACACTTTCTTTTTGTTTTCGCTAGTTATACCAATTTTAGCGGTAGAATGATTATATGGTTGGTTAAAATATTGAACGTTAAATAATATTTATAGTATATTTCATGAGAAAAGGGAGCGCAGGAGTGGCACTATTAAAATGCGTTCGATGTTAAAAACAAAAAAGCATTCATAGCAGCTCAAGTTCGATATTAGCTTAAGGTGATTTTTTTTTTATAAAAAAAAACCCTTTATGTGAGTTTGGACCGCTTTGGACGCATTAAAATCTGATTAACACGCTCGTACGTTTTTTAAAATATATTTGTCCACAGAAACTGCCGTGAAAAAGTACAGAAAACTTCAGAAATGAGGATCAAATAGTAAGTCAACAGTCAACGCCTCGAAACTGCAAACAATAAATGCCGGTTTGCTTGACCGGTTGGTTTTGCCTCTGAAGACCAATTCGCTTAATTAGTAACTTCCACTGTTCCACATAAATGTAGTTCATCATTAACCATATAGTTTCACTCAATTTATCAAATAATCTTCACTGGTTTTATTTGGTTTACTATATTAGGGTATCTATCTAACTCTAAGTCCGTGGTTAGATACATTGTATGGTTATGTATGGTTGTTCCATATATGATATATCATAAAATTACAGTATTGTGAAACCGATAATTCCGATTGGTCCCATAACTATAAGAAAGAAAATAGTAGAATAGTGTGTACCCGGGAAAGTATGGATATTCCAGGTTCAGATATGGCGTGCCGTGTGTCCCATTACTTCACTTTATTTCAAATGTTTATTACTATTTATTTGTCTATCCTATGTACGGTATCTAGAATTTCTTTTGTCAAGAACCAGTCAATTTTCGATGATATTGTTTGTTAACTTTAACATAAGATACAAAGAGGTTGCTTACAAGAACATGAAATATCAATAGTTATCAAGAGAAATATCTTCAAATATCTTTCAACCGTTTAACGAAAAACAAAAACTTAAAAGGCACAATTCTTCATATGCATATTATCAAACTAAGTTATGGTGACATACTGATATTAGTGTTTAAAAATATATGACTTGCGGATATATAAATATATTCATGTTTTGCTTTTATTATGGCCTTTTAAACCTAAAGACATAGTTTATGGTGTGAAGGTAAGACCGTTTACATGCCATAGGACAAATGAATGTTTACAACTTATTACAAGTGTGCATGCTTCATGGAGGATTAAGTACGCAATTAACTTGATATTTAATCATCTATCAACTAATAAAGGATGAGAGCCTGAATGTATCTGTTTGAGACAGCTCACTCTGGATTTTGGTGAGATATATATAGTTCAATATATATTTAAGTCAAAACTAAATTTTCCTAGTTCGGGTTAATGTGACTTTAGTTCTTGTTCATCTTTTTTTTTTGTATGAAGCTCATCACTCATTAAAATTTTAGAATTCTTTCTTTTTCTTCTCGGCTGGGACTTAATTTCGGTGTTCTATATATATTATTGAATAAATAGCCTGAGACAAAATATATTTCCATTTTCTTATAAATGTTTCAGTTTGGTTTGTTTTGGTTCATATCGGTTTTACTGTCCATCTAAAAATTATTTGCTTATGTTAATGAAAAATATCCCATCGAGGTCGGTATTAGTTTGAATCGAACTTCCCTTTCAGATGATGCATGTTGGAATAGTTAGTATTGACTTTGCAATTTCATTTTCCTAATTATTCTATTTAATTGAAACAGCAACCAAACTCAACACTAAAACACAAAAGGACATGGTGTAAGCAATTATCTTTAAACCTAGATTTGTGCATTAATTTAATGTATGGAATCGGTTAATTCTCTATTAAGATGCTTCTCTCTGTAGCTCTACTATGCACACAACATAGGTCACTTATATACATCACCCATCTTTTTACTTAATTATAATTTTTTTCATTGTGTATATATCAAGTATTAATAAATATATTATAAAGTGCAATTCACTCTCTTTCCAACTCATACTTATGAGTAAGCATATAAATAGAAGGGTCCCTAAATAGAATTTTAAATACGCAATTTACTTTTTAAAAGTTACCTTTCTAAGAACATGGAAAAATAAATAGATGAATGTTAAAAACTAGCAAAATCACTTTTCAAAATGTAGAAACGTAAATAATTGGTATGCAATTGATCATCTTCGTTATTATGTTATGTCTTTTGACAAAAAAGAAAGAAAGTTATGTTATGATTTCAAAAAGTCAGTTTAAAAGATAGAGAAAGCACCTGATGAAGAAACAAAGCAGCATGTAATGTAATTAATGATAGATATGAGATGTCAAATTGCAATAATGGAGCGATATAACTTTATCGACTAAGGAATATCAACTTTTCAAAAATGTATATAAATATCATAACTTTGTAATAGTTATCAAACTCTAACAGCCAATAAATGTGATGACTACATAACAAGAGATATACATTTTTTTTTTTTTGAGAAAACCAAAAAAGGAATAAAATTTGACAAGATTCATAATATTTTTGGAAGAAAAACAGTAATATAATTGGGAGAGATAAGACCAAAGAAGGACAGAAAGATATTTTTTAAATTACAAAAAGGAATAATCGAATAGAAAATTTCAAGGAAAGGCCAAGGAGGGTTCCTTGAACCCAACGCATCTTAGGCTCGGATTTTAGGTTCGGAATCAGGTTTGGTTTGTAACCCAAGGAATATTAGGCTCGTCTTTTAGGTTCGGGAATTTAGGTTCGGTTTGTCGACATTGGGAGGATAAGAATGACTCTTTCGCTACTTCTTCTCTCTAAACCCTTTCTGCAAGAAACCCATTTCTCTCTCTCATACTCTCTCGCTTTCTAAAACCCTTTCTCTCTCTAAAACCCCTTTTTTCTATTTCTACAAAAGCTTTGGGGCTGACTCAGAAAAGTCTAGTGTTTTACTGCATTCCGAAAATGGCGATTGAAGATCACGAGAACCCAAATCGAGAAATCAAGCCTAAAAACAGAAGAATCATGGTATTTCTAGCAAAACCCCCTTTCCCAGATTATCGCATTGTTGATTCTGTTTTTACATTGTTAACTCATTGTTTTTGCAATGTCCACTCGCAAATGTTGTTTGTATTCTACTGATTCATTATCGATTCTAAGATTTGGGTTTTTTTTATTGAATCAAAATTATACTGGAAACAAGAAAAGTTGTGTGTATGTTTTTACCTTTTTTTTTTTTTCTTTTCTATTGAAAATACTCTGTTTTGTGTTTAAAGAAAAATGACTGTCGATTTTCTCGGAAGAATCCGAATAATGTTGTTTAGAAATGTTCATATTTCGCCATTACTGATTCCAGTTACTTTAATTTCAGTCTGACGAAGAACCACGCTCGAAGCTTTTGATAATGTAGTTGGTTGATTAGGGTTTAAATTAGGGGTGATGGAGAAGATATAAAGAATCTGGAATATATTTCTGGGTTTTAAGAATAGGATCTTCTTCGAACTAGATTCACGGCTCAATATTCGATCCCGTACTTATCGCCGTTCAAATTGCCTTTGTTTTTTCTTATATAAATAAAAACTTTGACAGAATCATATTCTGTAAACGAACTTGGGGATTCTTTATTTATCTTTGATTGCGAGATTTTAAAATGGTATATGAAATTTGGAAAACCATTAACAGTAGTATTGTGAAAACTTGAGAGAAACAGTCAAGTGTCTCCTTAAGTCTATAAAGGAGAAAGTCAATGGTGTTTTTGGTAGATTAGAGCTAACTGTTCTGAGTTTTTTTTTTTTTTGGGGATAATGGCTAATGAGTGATGTTGTTAATGGTGTTTTGCAGGGAGCTGGTGGACCGGAGGAAGAAGAGAACCGGTGGCCTATATGGCTGAAACCTTTACTGAAAGAACACTTCTTTGTTCAATGCAACTCTCATGGACACTCACCGAAAAGCGAATGCAATATGTATTGCTTAGACTGCACTAATGGCTCCCTTTGCTCTCTCTGTCTGGCTCACCACAAGGATCATCGCACGATTCAGGTTCGTTTCATTTCATGATCCAGGTTTCATGTATTTAGACTTCATTTGGCGAAATTTAGATTTTGAAAATGTTAGTGTTCGTGATTTGCAGATAAGGAGATCATCTTATCATGATGTAATAAGGGTCAATGAGATTCAGAAGTATTTAGATATCTCCAGCATTCAGACGTATGTGATCAACAGTGCAAAGGTTGTGTTTTTGAATGAGAGGCCTCAGCCTAAGCCCGGTAAAGGGGTTACTAATACCTGCGTGGTCTGTTATCGTGGCCTTGTCGATGATTGCTTCAGCTTCTGCTCTCTTGGCTGCAAGGTACATTTCCTAATTACATAACAATCACCATTCAGTTTTTGTTTGTTTTCTGAGATAACTAAGGAACAATCTTCAAGTTTTAAGCATCCTTTACCAAACTTTTCTTGTCCTTTGGTGATTTCCGGCTATGTACATAGAAGAGTTTGGAACTTTTGATTTGGGTCATCTTTCTTCTGATAAACTTTTTCTATATGTTTTTGGAAACTGAAATCAAAAGGTAGCAGGAACTTCTAGAAGCTTTGAGAAGAGAGTGAAGGATACAGCTATGGAATCAGAGAATTCAAGCCACAGTTCAGGGGTAGAGGATAATATCCCTCAGAGTTTAAGCCCATCAACGCCTCAACTTCCTACTTCTAGTTCTATGCGAAAAACACGAAGAAAGGGACTCCCTTACCGATCTCCACTGCACTGAGATTAGATCGCAAAGAAGAAGAAGTCTGTGAGTGATACATTTCAAGGTTCCTGATGATATACAGACATCCTCAAAAGAAGCGTATATAGCTCAATACAAGACACACAAAAGGTTTTAACTTTCTCTTACAGCAAAGAAGTGCCTTAGGTTTTATGCTATGAAGTAGTCAAATAAGTAGTAAGTGTATATATATGATATCGTCGTTTATACTTTTAATGTGATGAAAATGAGGCTAGACAGTGAGTGATAGTATTTTCCTACAAGTAGTTGGTTTTTGACTAAGTCTTTTGGGTGTAAATTTGGTTTTGATAGACTATAATAACAATAACATATTATTTATCTATACATCTGTTTTTTGGAATGCTTATTAGACAAAAGGGAAGTTATGCAAACACAAACCAGAGAGATACAAAATATTATTCCAGTAACTGGTAAATACAGATGTAAAGGAAAAAAAAATGTACAAGGAATCCAAGTCTGCGCAAAAGACTTGATCATGTCACGACGACAACTTTCATTCGTCTAAGAACCCTTTGATCTAGACCATTAATCCTCTGTTCTAGACACTCTAAAGAACAAGAAACGAGTTTATACCTGTAAAAGTAGACTTCATAGTACACATGAGTCGGGCAACGCTGCTCACATCCATCACATATAGGACGAGTGATACTATTGTTGCGAAGTACTTTCACCTTGAAAGTAATGTAAGCGAATGTGAAACCGGGCTTCATATAAATGGAGGACCCGAAGATGCAATGGAGGTGGACAGTGACACAACATTTGTTGCATGTGTAGAACCATTTTGTTGAATCTAACTCTTTCTCACATATGTCACACCAATACTTTCCACCATCTGCGGTTTCTCCGTAGCAAAGGGAGAGAGGATGCTCATCGTGTTTGTAGTGTACCTCGTTAGGAAATGTGGCGCAACGATAACACATATCGAATTCGCATGTAGTACATTGTAGAAAAGATAGCAAACAATGTTTCTTGCAAATCTTGCATATGATCTTCTCTTTGTAGCGGTGTTCTAATATGGGGAAACATAAAGGATGCTCATGACTTTTATGAGTAAAAACATCAGGGAGTGTTATGCAGCCAACATGTATTCGATATATGTCGCTTATCAAGCAACCTTTGTCTTTGCACTTGTACCTGAAACCACTGAACCTTTGAAGACAAACTGAACAACTCATGTCATCATAGTCATTCTGAGGAGACGTGTCTAGGACAAGCCGGTGTTTATGCAAAGCATGATCCAATTCTCGAGGAAGACTAGCACATACCTCGTGGAGTGAGAAATCACATTCTATACAATCGTAGAAGTCACGAGAGTCGATAGGAAGAACACACGCCTGACATAGCTTGTCTTGTGCATCTCCAACGTTTTTGTAGTACTTGTTGAGTCTTAGAGCATGTTCATGACAAATATGTTTGATCAAATCAACACCTATCTTCTTGAACGGTGCGGTGTTTTCAGGATCCTCTGGCTCTTCGGGCTCCCATTCAAGCTCTCTCCCATCCCACACTTCCTTATGAGTTGCACATTTTGAGTGTGCTACATAAGAACATGTTTCATGGTTGCAAGAGTACTGACCATACTTGTTGTCAACATTCTTGTGGCAAACACGGCATGATGACCTTATTGTAGGGGAAAGGTAAGGAGTATGAGAAAGACGATGCTGATGACGAGTGATTTTAATGACGCGTGGTAAGTTGATACAAGACTCATGGACAATGTAACTGCATTGAAAACAAGCATAGCTTGGATCTGATTGATTGATCAAGCCACAAGCATCACATGGAACTAATAAAGGCCGTGGAAAAAAAGAGAGAGGATGGTGATGGCTTTGAGGGTTTGTGATGGTGAGAGAAGGGTATTTATAGGAGCAAGAAGCATCCAAACAAAAGCTACAAATGGAACAATGATAGTACCACCTTGTGTGGTTTGATCCACACCAAGTGCATTTATAAGTTTGATCAGCTTCATGATTCTTACTGTCGATGAGATCGAGAGGGTGTTGGAGATGATACGGGTGTGTTAGCTTCTTTGGTTCCGAGTAACAATCTTTGTGGAACTCAACATCACAAGTGGTGCAGGAGTAATACAAATCATCTCCCCACTTTAAGATATCTCTGGAACACACGAAACAAACAGATTTAGGGGTTTCTTTAGAGGTTCTAGGAGAGAGGGTGTGAGGATAAGCCGGATGAGAGAGACGACATGTAAGGTTTAGATGTTTTTTAGCATTCATTTTCTTTGCAGCTTTTGGTTATGGTCGATCTTCGATGTGTTCTGCTCTCTCACATTCCTATCTGTGGTGGAAGTTGATAAATATAGAGAACACAAAATGTTAAAATAAAAGGGACAATAGTTGTATGATCTACACGACTTGTTATTATAATTTATCCCAAAGATTTTTATGGTTGTATCCAGACTGTATAATGAATACTCAAACGATATAGTCAAACTCCAGATACAAGAAATCTAATTAATTATTTTGACGGGTGACACTCAATACTCTTCAAACCACAATTACAATTTACAATCCGTGATGTAGTTCTACGAAATATTATGTTTTGATTTTAACCCTTGTTAGAAGAATTCAAAACATTCAAAATTGAAATTTACATCTTCTGTATTACATCATTTTAAATAAAAAGAAATTGATGACAACTATCAGCTATGACAACAGCTATTGCAACAATTATTAATTAATCAATTTAGATATAATATTAAACAATGTTCCCCTTATTTATTGTAGCTGGTAATCTGGTATCAATCTGAGTGAATAAAATATAGAAAAATATTGACATCGTGAAACTCGCCTCAATATTATAAAATAAGGCCAAAATGATGATGTATAAGGTTGTTAACTGGTTTTATATGGTTTGATTTCTTCGTTGTGGGTTTGAGATTTTGGCATATTGAATTAATTTGGGTTGCAAAATATCAACTTCAAAGTATATGGGCCGTGTGATTTGTAATACTAATTTAAAAAAAAAAAAAAAAAACTAAGGGGTGTTGGTCTAGTACATATGAATTAGAGTTGTGAAAGACTTGCTATATGGGTTTAGGACATGGTTTGAATTTCTTCATAATTGACTCTTTATCAATATACATGTCTTAAAATGATATAGATATATATGTGTTCAAAAGGACGTGAGAAACACAAATAGAGAATGTATAATACAGAAACAAATCTAGGTGGTTTAAGAATAAAAATCTAGGTGGTTTTAGAATAAAAATCTAGGTGGTTCATCAACTTGGATATGGATTATAATGGAGTACGAGGATATGAATTGGTTATTTCCCCATTACTACACAAATGCAAAGCTTTTGTGAACCAAACAAGCGAGATAATACAAAAACTACAAAAGTATTCTTCCCAGTTACAGCATATGTCAATAGACTCAATACACAATAAAAACAACCAGAGGGCCCAAAACGTAAATAAGCTAAAAATATAGGAAATCCAATCATTGAAAAGCATTCCTCCCAGTTTTTCCCCTAAACTTTTTATCACGATCATGTATAACCCTGCTTATACTTTCTGAATATATCCTCAGTTTTCGCGTTTCGGAAAGCGCAGCAACCGATTATATAAACGATTATCAATCCAATTAGCGCCAAGAGGAGAAATATATCCGCTTTTAACCAATCTACCTTGAGATTTGCGAGCAAACCGGCTTTACAAGAATCACAACCATAACACAAAGTGTTTTGATCGTTGTTCCATTGTAGACAATCCATATCTGCAGACATATCTATGGGACTTATCCAGTAAGTTGGGTTAACGAACGTGAATCCACATTTTGTTGGGGGCTTGCAGCAACCAGACTGAAAAAATAAAAGAAACGGGGTTAAATTTAAATAAAATAAAAGAGTAGGGCACAAAAAAGTTGTTCCGCGTGACTGATTAAGAAAGTGCACATAGTGGAAGAATCTAGAAAAGTTGGGGAGTTTAGTATATTTTTATCAAAAGGTTAAAACTTTTCCAGTTCTTTTGTTCAGACAGGCCTATAAGCTATGAATCATTTCTAGTTAATCTAAATCCCGACCGGTTCTTTTCGTGGCCATTCGATTTCAACCTTTCATAAGATGTGAGACCCACTTTTTCTTAAAAATATGAGTATGTGACATGTTCAGTCTATTCTAATTTTGATTATCCTTAAAACAGTAGATAATTTGATATTTTCATATGAATTGCAGCTTTTTTACATCAAAAGGATCTATATATTTTTCAGTATTTTTACCGACAAGGCGACAATACTGAACAAGCAAAGCACAATTCTTTTCATTACCGCCCCATTTCTTTTCAATATTTATTCGAATTCACCCCAATACTTCTTTCTATTCTAATTACGCCCTAATTTTCCTCGATTAACGAGTTCACGAAGACACGAACTGACGCAAAAAAAAAAAAAAAAGAGTTCCAAACAACTAATTAACAACAAAGAACGAGGAAATCATACTTTAACAAACCCCAAATGCATAGATTCATTTAGGGCAAGAACTAAGAACTACCAAAAACTTGAAGGACTATAACAAAAAAAAAACCATAAACCCATGAAAAAAAAACTTAAATTTTCTGGTGAATTTCTTATAAAAAAGAAAAAAAAAAAATTCGGAAGGGAAAGAGAGGTACTTACTTGAATGGGACTAAGATGAGCATTGAAGAAATCTTGAGCCAAAGTGTAACTCTGATTTAATTCAGGACAAATACTAGTAGTACTCAAACAAGTACGGATCCTGTCCCATTTATAAGATCTCTGAACTCTTCGACGTAAGAAACCAGAGAAATCTTGAAGACTATACTCAAGATAAGCTCTACTTGGTTCTTGATGACCTGAGCCTCTAATGGTAACCATGTAAATAAATCCAACAAGAATAGCCAAAAGCACGATGAGAGCAAGCATGGCGATTAAGTAAATAACGAGGAGCCAAGTGATTCTCCAAAACCCTCCTATGAAACCAGCGAGACCCACAAGGAGGATTAAGATTCCGATGATTATTACTGGCCATTGAAGGATCTTGACGCAGGAGTTTACGGTTCCGATGGCAAGCCAGATTCCGGCGCCGATGACCGGAATTGAGAGGAGGACGGAGATGAAGTTGATGCAACCGATTACATTGTTGCTTAAAGGCATTTTTTTGTTTTGAGAGGAAAGTTTAACTATTTGTGTTTCTTGAAATTTGTTTGGTTTGAAAGGGATTTAGGGTAATGGCAATAACTTAGAAAGAGAGAGAGAGAGAGTGAAAGCAGAGAGATTTACATGTGTGAAAAGTGAATTGTATAGTATAAAAAAGGAGTAATTATTTGAAAATAAAAGGAGGTGGATCTATCATTTCTTAAATTAGGTCCATTGACCTTATCTTGCTTAAAAGAGAAAAAAATCAAAACTATTTAATTCACTTTTGAAATATAATTTTCACAAGTAATATATAGTTCTCAAATTTCGATCATTAGAGGTTAGAATGAGTCATAGTTTTGATTTTAATCATTAGGAAAAAATTGGGAAGATGACACATAAAATGACAATATGCAAAGTGTCAATTTTTCTTATTTATTCTTATTGTTACCATATTTAAGGCAGTAAAAAGATAATATAAAAAGGAAATTAGTTTAAATAATACAAATAATTTATTTGAAAAAAAACAAATCGCTCCTTTTCATTATTATTTTTATATTATAGTTACATATTTGCTTTTAGAAAATTATAAGCATCTTATAATGACCACATCTTGAAAAAGATGACACATAAGATAACAAAATGCAAAGTATTGTTCATTAAACATTATTAAAGATAATGATATCAAATTCCATTCCCAAATATAAACACAAATAATTTAAAATTTATATCTTAAAGGAGCAACAAACCCAACATTTTTAAAAATAATTACAGGCCTAAAATATAACTAGAAAAAACTTACATTTAATTAAGTATATAATCAAAACGCAACACAAAATCTATTCTAAAAAGAAGCCAGTTGCTAGTAACCATTATAAATCTCCAAGTAAATTAAAATATATTGTTATTATTCACCTAAGTTTGATGTTTTTGTCTATGTACGTATTGAAATCGACGTCTCGTTTCAGACAGAAAATAAATTACATCGCTTTTTGTTCGTCTCTGATGTGTGGATGGAGGAAATGATTGTGAACATTTGCATCTGCCTTTTTTTGTTCTTAAATTTGCATTTTTGTTGTGAATCAAACGAAGAAGACAATAAACTATAGAGAAAAATCATAAATTGAGGCAAACATTGGTTTATGATTTTATTATTAATTGTGTAAATAAATAATTACAAATTTTTAATTTTATATTTATACCTCAAAAACCCGATTCCCAAACCTACTACTAGATAAAAGAAAACTTAAATCAAACTCAATAAAGAAACTGTACTCCACACCCCAAGTGAATTCACATCTGCTTATAATCTAATAAAACCCATAAGATCCAGTTAGAATTCGCCGGTCTGTAACAGACCTTAGACCCGTTACATTTCTCAATTCGCTCTAACAAAACCCTTTTAAAATATTTTGTCACTTAAAAACAACAATCTTTAATTTAGAGTTTTTGGTAAATTTAAACTTTTAATAAACAAAAATCATTGAATTGTTCATTATAATAGAAATCATATTGTTATGTAATTCATGTGGCGATAAATAGTCTTATACAATTTTGAAATGTTTATTTTTTTGTAACAAACAAAAAATGAAATGTTGGAGTTCTCATTTAGTTTAATTCCCGAATTTATGGAACATTGGATAGAGGAAACGTGATTATAATTTTTTTAATCAAAGTAAGACTTTATATCTGGAAACTTTAGCCCGGAGGGTAATTACTTTGTTCTGTCACTTTTTGAAAAGAAAACACCTTGGAATTGAATATGTAAGATAGGGCAAGAATATATACCATTTTTTTCGAAGGACTACAAATTATTTTATGTATTAGTAATGATAACAAGAGAGAACTTTACAGTCTACATATAATGAGAATGCATTCGCTGTAATTTTATTTTTTCTCATAAAGATATACCTATGTTCAGTGTCACATTAGCTAATTGTTTCAACAAACAAAGATAATCATTTTCTTTTCAAACATCATCTTTAAAATGTAGACACATTGATAAAATGCTAAACACACATTGTTAAAATTACTTAATTAATCTGTACACATTGGATATAATAAACTTATGCATGCAATCTAAACAAAAAATAAATGAATTAATTTTCATTTGAAAAAAAAAAACACAATACCTAAATTAAACGATAGAATATTATAATAAGTTGCGTAGAACCAACCAGATATGAGGAAAATGTGAACATGTTGACCAGATTCATATAATCCAAAAGAAACATGAGAAAAGAAAAGAATTATTGTGAATATTTTTTCTTGTTAAGTATTGTGAATAGTTCAAATAAAATTGGGAGATAATTCGACCAGGGGAGAATCTTTATTACATGAAGAGAAGTCAGATTTTCACTTCTTTCTGAGTACAAGATCATCAGCTTTCTAGTGCGGTAGAAAATGATAAGCATTGAGAAACTTTTAAGCATCAGGTACGAACGGGTCCCAAACAATAATTGACCATTCGTTTGTAGATATTTGGACGCTTTTGTTCTTTTATCTAACATTGACAGCGTATAAATTCACTGGAAATGTAAAAAAAACTGGATAATTTAAAAATTTAGTAGATCAAAATAAATTTAAATCATGATGGCTAAGAAGAAAATCCAAATTTGTCTCAAATAAAGAAAGACAAAGAAAATGGCAAAAATAAAACTAATCGAGAGGGATATATAAAATAAGCCCATATCCAAAAACATATATATGGGCCATTGCCCATTGGAAACAGATCCGTAAAATGGAATCAATGTGGGCGACAACAGAAATAAAGCAACTGAATAGAGTCTCACGCATAATGACGGTGCTTATAGCACATGTCTCTATGTAATCCAAATCGCTAGATTAACAAGATAAGCATATATATATGATGAGAAGTCCAGATAAGCATCTAAGAAAATATTTTCTTATCACCAAGATCTCTCTAGCCCTCTCGTTTTGCAGGATTTTAGAGGCATGATTTCAAGTTCACAAAACAAAAAAAGTTTTCACTTTTCAAGTTCAGATATTTATTAATCCTAAGTTTACGCCCATATTCTGTGAAAGACAGACCTTTTTTTTTTTTTTTTCCATAACCCAACTATTACATCACATTTGGCCCGTTAAAGGACTGGTCCGAAAACCGTCTTCAACTGACTCGGTATGAATAATTTGGGAGAAAATACGTCCTCTTGTTCGAGCTCATTTTGCAAGACTATCCGCTCGGACATTTAAACTTTTTGGGATATGGGAGAGAGTGAAATCCAAAAAGCTTTTCCGGAGAATGCGGAAAGCTTCCAACTCCGATAAGAATGATGGCCAATCCGATGGAGATTCAGACATACTTACCAGATCCGAGCAATCGGTTTGAAAGTGTGTGAAAGACAGAACCTTATATTCATATCCTTATTTTTTTAAATGACTTTTAGAGTACTTCTGTAATTTTTTGTAATCAAATTGTTAACTAGAATTTTGCATGTCTCATTATTCTGAAATATAATTATGGGGGTTACTGCGAAATCATCAATCATGTTGAAGGCCAGATTATTGATAGAGATGCAAGTATTGTGTATTTTAAAATCCGGATCTCACTATTTCTCTTGTATTATAAGGTGTTATATTTATACGCTTTTGCCTTTCTTTCTTTTTTGGTGTTATAACATCTTGTCCTAGGTGAAATACAAGATATTCACTTTCTAAAGCTCGAGGTGGTAGATGAAATCATTAAACTGATGATTATCTGTTCGGTTCTTCTCGGATTAAAGAAGCTGCTATAAAATTTGGATGGACTAAAACATCTCGGTTGACTTAGTGAAACTACCAGAAGAACAATTGTACGGTAAGAACTAGAAGCTCTTAAATATAGAAACTAGTCGAAAGCTGAAAATTAGTTTAAAAGTAGATAAATTATGTTATTGGTGGTTGAAACTGAATCGTTTGAGTTAAAATCTAAACTGAACAAATTGTGCACAACTTATTAGATATATATCAAATTTACTGATTTGACTCAACACAACTGCCAATTTTGAATCAATTCCACATTTTTCAGACCAAACATCATGAAAATGGTTTCCCCACAAACATGTCAATAGCTCTAAATAAGAAAATGCGATGTTGGAAAGAAGATATGAGTTTCCTTTTTAACATGTAAAGTCCCATGTTATTCAAAAAATTCAAAGTCAATTATTAAGTTTCAGTTTGCTCTAGCCTTGGCTATTGCTATGCCAGTGTTGACCTTCTCAAGCTGTGCTTCAAAGTAACAGCGCAGAAACTCAACTCAAGCTCTAAGATTTCCACTCAACATAATCTTTTCCATTAGTATCGACATTCACCTTATCTTCGAGATTTTTTTGTCCACAACCTTCAACATGTCATTATAGCGACTGTTTTCTCCTCTTTTCCTCTTGCTGCTTCTTTTGTCTTTCTTGCAGCACCTTCTTCCTTCTCCTTCCATAAACCCAATAATCTTTTGGAACACGCGTGCCAACTACTCTTACCGATTTAGCATTTTGTTATTGTAGGTTGTTTATACTCTCTTGACAAATATCTCTTCCATATTTATATTTTGAAAATCATGTATATATTCGGTTACTTACGTTTGTCACCCTATTCATGTTTCTTGGTCTTTGGTGTTGGTGAGGCATCATTTATACGTCTTAAAATATTCTGCTTGATTTTCCTTTTTTTTTTTGAAAACCGCTTGATGTCTTTTTCCATAGAAAACGCTGATATGATATTTGGAGGGATCACAGTTATCTGTGGAATCGTTGATACATTTGTCAAGAGGAGTGGTTTTAGATTTGATAATTATCAAGATTCCTTAAACAAATTTTAAGAACAATCTTGAGAAAGACACTTAAAAAAAACCATGTCATATATTATTGACAACTTTGCCATGTTGATGTATCAATTTCAGAGAACTTCTCAAAGATTTTTTGAAATTAGATTCAACTTATTAGATTAATTATATCATATGCCATTAACATTAATTTGGATAAAGATTAGTTTATATCAAATTTATATTTAATATTTAAACATTTAATTTATAAAGATACTCTCTCTCTCTCTCTCTCTCTTTCTATTTCTTATCAACATATTTATAAAAATTTAATACATAATATTACTTATATTACTAAACATTATTTTCTTATCTTATCTTTTTTTAATCTTAATTTTGTTAAAAAATAATCATATTATCTATTTCATAATAATAAAATCTAATTTTTTTTTCATTCATATTATAATTCACATTTTTTTATATCAAAGCAAAATATCTTAATCTGATGTTAGACCGGTTAGATATAGCATATTAATCTAATTCAGTATATTTAATGTGTAATTTTATTCATATAAAAAATACTACTAAAATTAATTATAAAATTAATAATTATCTAACATTTATACAATTGTATTATAAAATAAATATAACTTTGATCATTATTTATAATTGCATAATCATCACAAGCCACTCAAACAATCCCTCACGCGTCTTAAAAGCTGTCTTCCACTCATCTCCTAGGCGAATTCGAATTTGGTGATATCCACTCTTCAAATCCAACTTAGAGAAGACCTTTGCACTACTAATCTGATTCAACAAATCATCCAGACGAGGAATAGGAAAGCGATATCGTAGAGTGATTTTGTTGATCGCTCTGCTGTCCACACACATACGCCAAGAACCATCTTTCTTGGGTATCAACAACGCTGGAACCGCACAAGGACTTAAGCTCTCCCTGACATGTCCTTTTGCGATCAACGCTTCAACCTGATGTCGCAACTCCTCATGCTCTTGGAGACTCATGCGGTAGTGAGGACGGTTTGGTAAGGACGCGCCTGGAACAAGATCAATGTGATGCTGAATATCACGAAGAGGAGGGAGTCCCTGTGGCAACTCACTCGGCGATACGTCCCTGAACTCCTCTAATATGCTCGCTATCTGTGGAGGTAACACGCTAGGTGCATCTGATGGCACTGAAGAGGACAAAAGAACAATCGCAAACCATGTGTCTTGAAACTCAGATTGAAACGAAGTTAATGAACACAATAGAACTGGCGTAGGAGGAGTACACTCAACGGTGTGTGGAGGAGACGGCTCCGACAATGCTCGCGATGGAGACGGCGAGAATGGAGGATTCGGAGTGAGGATGATACGCCTGTTCTCAAACACGAACGAGTAAGTGTTGCTCTTCCCATGGTGCATGACGTCACGATCATACTGCCATGGACGGCCCAACAACAAATGACTGACATCCATAGGTACGATATCACAAAAGAACTTGTCTTTGTAGTGAGTACCGATGGAGAACGAGACCAACGTGCGATGAGTGATGCGAACCTTGGTATAGTCTTTCAGCCAAGTCAGTTTATACGGAGCAGGATGTTCCTCCCGTCGCAGACTCAGTTTACGACAAGCTTCTTCCGACACCACATTCCGACAGCTGCCAGAGTCGATAACAAATCGGCATACCTTGCCCTTGATCGTACAGGTAGACTGAAAGATATTCGATCTCAGCCATGGTTCCTCATTCGCTACCGGCGATAAGCAGACACGAACCACCAATGACTGACCATGGTCGCCCGAAGTACGTTCTACAGGTAGCTCGTCATTCTCGAGTTCCTGCCCCTCGTCATCATCACCGTCCCATTTGACCTCATCTATGAGCAACCCACGACGAGATTTCTTCGGGCAGGCCGTCTGAAGATGACCCTGCTCGCCGCACGTGTAGCAACGGAGCATGTTAGGTCGCGACGAGCGACGCAGTGCTTGGACGTCACCAGCATTGTCTTGGTTAGGACCACGTTTCTGAGAACCGTCGACAATGTCCTTGCCTGTGTGAGTGCCCTGAATCGCTGGTTGATGATGAGGAATCTCCGGTTCGCCGTTAATTAGTGCCTTGACTTGTTGAAGAAGTAACCGTCTGGTTTAGTTTAGCCTTTTGAAGCTTTTGAGCTTCAAGAGATAGTAATTGATGTTCAAGTTCTTTGATGAAATCTATGGCTCCACCAACAATTGAAGCTTGATCGCCCTTTGATGAAAAAAACCCACAACAAATAATGAACATATAAGTAAATATATAAAAACCAATAATGAAATTTTAACCTTTTAAAAAGAAATTTTGAGAATTCACTTGCCTTGTTTGGATTGCGCAGATCGAAAGCTATATAATTTTCAGAATAATAACATTAAAGGAATTAGAAAAATAATAATATAAATATCTCTTTCCTCTTCGACAGAAAAGGGGGAAAAAGAAAAAACAAACTTCTTCATACCCTAAATCCCATTCGGACGCTCTTCTCTCAGCTTCTCCATGGAAGACGAATCCGCCATCACAGGGCAGGAATCAAAGTGCAGTGATGCAGACATTCTTGCGTAGCGTAAGCGTAACGTTTCGATTGCTCGTTGATTCACAGAATAGCCGAACAAAGGAGAAAGCTTGTAGCTCGTTGATTCGAAGGAATAACCGAGAAACAAGAGAGATATAAGCTTGAAAAGCTCTGAATAATTCAATAAAATCAAAGTTGGTTTCTCGTTACAAAGAGGAAGCTATTTATAATAGCTGCTAAACGAAAACCCTAAAAGAATACGAAAACGAAATAGTCTTAAAGCCCAAGTAATATGAAAACCAAACATAAGTAAAAACCCATAGCAAAAATAATAAGGAAATAGAAACTTTAGGATAGATATGATAAGATGCGCTGCATCAGGTCCCTCCGGGTAGAAGAAGATTCGCCTCTGAATCTGGAATGTCATTGTCGCCCTGATACTTAGAAATGTATTTGACGTTAAAAACATCAGCGGTCTTAAGGTGAGGAGGAAGCTTCAACCTGTACGCATTGTTATTGATGCGCTGTAGTACTTCGACGGGACCAATCTTTCTAGAACGAAGCTTATTGTACTCCTGTGATGGCATACGATCCTTTGTGAGAACAACCCACACTAAATCACCGGGTTCAAAAATCACCTCGCGATGCTTTCCATCAGCACGACGCTTGTACTTTTGCGCAAACAAGGTAAGCTGATCATGAGTCTGTCGATGTGTATCCTGCAATGCCTCCACAAAATCTACTGCACGACCATGAAGGCGACGCCTGTCCGGAACGGTAGTAAGATCCAACGGTCCCCGAGGTAGAAGACTGTAAACAACCTTGAAGGGGCAAAAACCAGAACTCCTATTAGTTGCCCGGTTGTGTGCGAATTCCGCTTGGCAGAGACGAGATTCCCACGCGCGAATGTTCTCACCAACAAGACATCGCAGCATATTACCCAGAGCACGGTTAGTCACCTCCGTTTGTCCATCTGTTTGGGGATGATAAGCGGTGCTCATGTCAAGCCGCGTATGCAAAAGCTTCCACAACGAACGCCAAAAGTGACTTAGAAAACATGTGTCGCGATCAGAAACAATAGATGACGGCAAACCATGCAACCTGTAGATCTCCTGAAAGAAGAGAGAAGCAACCCTCAGGGCATCCGTTGTTCGCTTACATGGCACGAAATGAGCCATTTTGGATAAACGATCAACAACAACAAAGATTGAATCATTGCCGCGTTGGGAACGAGGAAGCCCGAGAACGAAGTCCATACTCAAATCAGTCCATGGCTGTGTCGGTATCGGCAATGGAAGATACAGCCCCGCATTCGAAGCTTGACCTTTAGCCAATTGACACGCTCGACAACGCTCCACAAATCGCTCCACATCGCGATGAAGGGATGGCCAGTAATAAGATGCCGCTACAAGCTGCAATGTGCGATCCCTGCCCACATGACCTTCATTGTGGAGCTCCTCGATCACGCGCAGGCGAAGGCTACAATCCGGGATACATAATTGGACTCCCTTGAACAAAAAACTATCTGTATAGGTAAAATCTGTGTGCTGACCAGCCTTGACTGTCTCAAAAATTTTACCAAAGAACGGATCAGATGGATAGAGCTCCGAAAATGTCGCAAAACCTGGAACTGTAGTATGTATCATCGTCAACAAAGAACGCCGTCGGCTGAGAGCATCTGCCACACGGTTCAACTTTCCTGCTTTATGTCGAATGGAGAAAGTAAACTGCTGCAAGAAAGCAATCCACGAGGCATGCCGAAAAGACACTTTCACCTGACTGTCCAATGCTTTAATGCGTCATGATCGGTAAAGAGTATGAAATCACGATGCACCAAATAGTGACGCCAGTGCTTGATGGCCTGCACCACAGCGTAGAACTCCACGTCATAGGTACTGTAACGGCAACGAGCCCTTGATAACTTTTCGCTAAAGAATGTGACAGGGCGAGAATTCTGACTCAAGACTGCGCCAATCCCCAATTTAGAAGCATCGAAATGTAGCTCAAAAGTTTCAGTGTAATCCGGTAACACAAGAACTAGAGCTGTGGTGAGCTTCTCCTTGACGAGGGAAAATGCAGCACTAGCCGCTGGGGTCCAACAAAAGGTATCGGCCTTCACGCAATCAGTCAAAGGAGCCATAAAGGTTCTGAAATGAGAGACAAACCGTCGATAAAACGACGCCAGACCATGAAATGAACGCACCTTCGAAATGGATTTAGGTTCGGGCCAAGAGCGCACCACAGCCACCTTTCCTTCGTCCATAGCCAAGCCCTCAGACGAAACCACATAGCCCAGAAAAAACACTCTAGAGACGCCCCATTTACACTTCTGCGCCGCGACAAATAATGTTTCCTTACGCAGCACCAAAAGAACCTCACACAAATGAGAAAGATGGTCCTCCAGCGACGCGCTAAACACCAGAATATCGTCAAATTACACCACCACAAACTTGCCAATATAGGCACGCAAAGCCTGGTTCATCACGCGCATAAAGGTACTGGGCGCATTGGACAAGCCGAAAGGCATCACAAGCCACTCAAACAATCCCTCACGCGTCTTAAAAACTGTCTTCCACTCATCTCCTGGGCGAATTCGAATTTGGTGATATCCACTCTTCAAATCCAACTTAGAGAAGACCTTTGCACTACTAATCTGATTCAACAAATCATCCACACGAGGAATAGGAAAGCGATATCGTACAGTAGTTTTGTTGATCGCTCTGCTGTCCATACACATACGCCAAGAACCATCTTTCTTGGGTATCAACAACGCTGGAACCGCACAAGGACTTAAGCTCTCCCTGACATGTCCTTTTGCGATCAACGCTTCAACCTGATGTCGCAACTCCTCATGCTCTTGGGGACTCATACGGTAGTGAGGACGGTTTGGTAAGGATGCGCCTGGAACAAGATCAATGTGATGCTGAATATCACGAAGAGGAGGGAGTCCCTGTGGCAACTCACTCGGCGATACGTCCCTGAACTCCTCTAATATGCTCGCTATCTGTGGAGGTAACACGCTAGGTGCATCTGATGGCACTGAAGAGGACAAAAGAACAATCGCAAACCATGTGTCTTGAAACTCAGATTGAAATGAAGTTAATGAACACAATAGAACTGGCGTAGGAGGAGTACACTCAACGGTGTGTGGAGGAGACGGCTCCGACAATGCTCGCGATGGAGACGGCGAGAATGGAGGATTCAGAGTGAGGATGATACGCCTGTTCTCAAACACGAACGAGTAAGTGTTGCTCTTCCCATGGTGCATGACGTCACGATCATACTGCCATGGACGGCCCAACAACAAATGACTGACATCCATAGGTACGATATCACAAAAGAGCTTGTCTTTGTAGTGAGTACCGATGGAGAACGAGACCAAATTGTGATGAGTGATGCGAACCTCGGTATCGTCTTTCAACCAAGTCAGTTTATACGGAGCAGGATGTTCCTCCCGTTGCAGACTCAGTTTACGACAAGCTTCTTCCGACACCACATTCCGACAGCTGCCAGAGTCGATAACAAATCGGCATACCTTGCCCTTGATCGTATAGGTAGACTGAAAGATATTCGATCTCAGCCATGGTTCCTCATTCGCTACCGGCGATAAGCAGACACGAACCACCAATGACTGACCATGGTCGCCCGAAGTACGTTCTACAGGTAGCTCGTCATTCTCGAGTTCCTACCCCTCGTCATCATCACCGTCCCATTTGACCTCATCTATGAGCAACCCACGACGAGATTTCTTCAGGCAGGCCGTCTGAAGATGACCCTGCTCGCCGCACGTGTAGCAACGGAGCATGTTAGGTCGCGACGAGCGATGCAGTGCTTGGACGTCACCAGCATTGTCTTGGTTATGACCACGGTTCTGAGAACCGTCGACAATGTCCTTGCCTGTGTGAGTGCCCTGAATTGCTTCCCCACTTGTTTACCCAATCACACGGTTGCGGTTAGCTGAAGACCAGTTGGAACCCGATTTAAATTGTTGCCTAAAAGCCACTGCACGATGGTGCGCTTCTGCCAAAGAGGTAGGATCGAACTGTATCATCGCGTTCTAGATCTGTTGTCTTAAGCCTCCAATAAAGCGTGATACTAGTTGTATCTCAGAGTCAAAGATCTCATTACGCGTCACCAAGAGAAAAAATTCGTCGGCATACTCATCAACAGTACGCGACCCTTGACGCAGATTCTGTAGTCTCGTATACATTGTGCGATCATAGTTCTGCGGCAAAAACGCTTGTTTGAGATACTTCCGAAATTTATCCCATGTACTGATTTTGTCTCTACGGTGCGAGACCTTGTCGATTTCAATTGCATCCACCAGGATGCAGCTCTGCCACGAAACTTCGTTGCAACAAGAGCAACCTTACGATCTTCAGGAACATGTTTGAATTCCATCGCCTCATCCAC